TTACAAAATGAACAAATGTGAGAGAGGTCTACATATAGTACCTATATATTTAATATCAAAGCAATTGGACTTGCGGTTTTTAACAAGAAGTTGAAAATATCACTTTCTACCAAAAATGACAAAAATATTCACCAAAATTAGAGAACTAAAGATATCATTAAACAAGCAGCCTATCGGCTGAGATAGCTCCGCTGTTAGCAATGCACATTTCAATTAAAGAACTGAAGACATCATTAGAAAATGAACAATATGTATAGTATCAAAGCAATCGGACTTACAGTTTTTAACAAGAATGTTGAAAATATCACTTTCTACCAAAAATGACAAAAATATTCACCAAAATTAGAGAATTTAAAATATCATCACGAAATGAACAAATCTGAGAAAGGTCTACATGTAGTATATATATATGTAATATCAAAGCAATTAAACTTGCGGTTTTTAATAAGAAGTCAAAAATATAATTTTTTACCAAAAATGACAAAAATATTCACCAAAATTAGAGAATTGAAGATATCATTACAAAATGAACAAATGTGAGAGAGGTCCACATATAGTACCTATATATGTAATATCAAAGCAATTGGACTTGCGGTTTTTAACAAGAAGTTGAAAATATCACTTTTTACCAAAAATGACAAAAATATTCACCAAAATTAGAGAATTAAAGATATCATCACGAAATGAACAAACATGAGAAAGGTCTACCCAAGGTACATATACACGAAGTATCAAAGCATTCAGGCTTGTAGTTTTCAAGAAGAAGTCACTCATATGATAAGCTTCGCTCGACAAAGTCGACAGCGGAGCTAAAAAGGAACAAATCTGAGAGAGATCCACATGTAGTACCTATATATGTAATATAAAAGCAATCAGATTTGCGGTTTTTAACAAGAAGTCGAAAATATCACTTTTACCAAAAATTACAAAAATATTCACCAAAATTAGAGAATTGAAGATATGATCATGAAATGAACAAATCTGAGAGAGGTCTACCCAAGGTACATATACACCAAGTATCAAAGCATTCAGGCTTGTAGTTTTCAAGAAGAAGTCGAAAAAGTAAAACATTGACACGGACGACGACGGACAATCACTCATGTGATAAGCTCCGCTCGACAAAGTCGACAGCGGAGCTAAAAAAGAGGTGTAAATGCAGATGTACTCACTTATTCATCAACAGAAGATTCTCACGTTGTTGTCGCTGTATTTCATATTTCATACTAGCAGAGGAGTGTTTCAGTTCCAGAGACTCAGCAAGTTTCCTTAGTTCCTCCCTGAAACATACAAAATAACATTAATGTCAATTCCAATAATATTCATTAATCAAATCAATCAATATAATACAAAGATTGAACTTGAATACATGTAATTTGATTCTGAGAGTACTAAATATTGAACAGTTAAATTATCTCAAAACAAACAAATATATTTTCAATTTCAAATACTGGTTCTGGTTAACGTACTGTTGCTTAAACTAAGACACTATTGTGTTTAATTAATTAGCCTCCATATAAAGGCCACCTGTCGACAGAGTTGAATTGTGATAGTGGCTATACACAGGTTGTTGTAATAGGTGTAATACACTACACATGTAGGTACGTTTCATGATTGTCCGACATATTTATTTATTAAATACATACACACTCATTGTCTCAACAGCAGCTTTCTTGGATTTGAAATGATCTATCTCATGTTTGTTTCTCTGCTGAATCATCTGTAAGACACAAATAATGGCAGTAAGAAATACTGCATGCAAGCAGCTTTCCAGTCCACTCAAGTAATCATGGTATATCTGTTGACAATGTACAGACCTTCATACATTTATTATATACACAGCTGACATCTGAACAAGTGAAATTAAAAAGATCTTAACCTTAAATCAAGGTTTTATGATATTAATGACAACAGTCTCATCAATACCTCACATAGTTCAAGTGAACAAGCAGGAGTTACTGAGCATATGTCCAGTGCATTATGGGAGTGAAATCACTCCTTATCAGTAAATTAATTACTGTCATCGCAATAATAATTCGCTGGGCAATGTTTACAATTTACATTGCTATGCATAACTTTTTCAGACTATGTCACCAAACAAAATTTCTAAAAAATGAAATACTATCACCATAAAACCAATGCAAAAATTATATAAATAAGAAGGTTGCTATTTTCTGTATCTCAAGTTGCACTGCATCCTGCGTCTGTGTTGATAGTCTAAATTAGCATCAATTGTGGGAAATATACAAGAAACATTCAAAGTTTGATGGTTTTCAGTGCAAGTGCTGGTGATCATTGTGGCTTCCTATTTGATTGTGTTCAAATTTTTTTTGCCAATGCTTTGGAATACAAAAAAGATTCACCTCTGTTCTGAATTATTGCAGGCCACTATAAAATCCTTTTTTCCTGCAATGCACAATAAAACTATACAAATGCTCTCTGAGTACAATTTTAAATAGCATGAAAACATAATAATGTAATGACATTACACATAAAATGACTATTATAATATTTCCCCAATATTTGCTTTTCTCACCATGCGTTCATTTTGGTCCTTGATTGCTTTAATCTTACTAGCTTTATCTAGTGAAGTCAGTGAATGCTGCAATACCATCTGACGAAACTCCTTATCTTCCATCTCAATTGACTTTTTAGAGTGCAGCTAGTAAAAAATATAAAATATTACAAGACTGAAAGTATCTATGAAAGATGAGTTTATATCCATAACACATTACTTGTATACAAATTATTATCATTTCTTTTTTTAGACGAATTTCAATATTTTTTTTTATTATTAATATCTTTGCTTTATCTTTCTTTACTTATCAAGAAGTTATTTTTCTTTTACTAATATTTGATTTGTAACCCTTTTCATTTCCTCCAGGGGATGTTATGTGTTAAAAAATAAACCATAGAGAAATGAAAATAATAGGTTTAGAAAGAAACAGATTTTACTCTGAAAGCCACTACTACAGGTATATCCCTAGTTTCTAACGGTGTGTGTGTTTATTATTCCATACCTGTTGTCTCTTTCTATTCTCATCAAGTCTTTTCTTCATATGTATCTTCTCAACCTGAAAACAATTTGCATTTAAGATAACATATATATTTGAAAACAAGTGGTGTTTGGCCATCCAGCTGTCATTGTGTTGAGATATTCCAGAGTTTATATCTTGGGTGGCAGCTACCAGTATAAAAGTACATTATTCATAAATAAACGTGAAGCTACTTACTTATCTGGGAAACACTATAGCTATTGAAGTCAATTAATTTTCACTTCAAAACGTGAAAACCCACCTTAAACTATAAAACTGGAAATGACTGATAACTTACACTATTACGCATACAAAAAATCAATTATTTCAAGTCTAGTTATGTGTGTGTGTGTTTGGGGGGGGGGGGGCTTTCAACACCTCAAAGAATAAATCAAGCGGCTACACCGATAAAAGTATTTCTCAGATATTAAATTGACTTGTGCTTCTCAACTGATAATGGCAATACGTATAGATACAAAGACCTGAAATGCACGGTTATTCAAAGGATTTAAAACCTACCATCATTTGTTGCTGTTTTGCCTTTGTTTTTTCTGATTGTAGTTCATTGAATTCTACAGCTCGTCGAGCATCATCAATCAGAGATAACTCAGCAAGCTTTCTTTCTTTTGTAAGTCTGGCCTATGATAAGCAAATACACGTTAGTGAATAATAAAATGAAATACAACAATGTTTTCACAAGTTTCATCAAAGCATGGTGATCATTATGCATATGAATATAGTATGTTTATCAATACAATAAATACTAAACAGCAAATCAATATATTTATGAACTATTTATTTGTCACAAGCAATTGTTTGTGTAAGAACTTGTTTACTCATTTTTAAATTAACAAAAATAAATTCAGAAAGCCAATAAACATAAGTACAGCAGTGTTCTCCGAAAGAAAATAGCAAAATGTTTATGACTAAATCACATAACAATAGAACCTGTTAACCACCTCTGTTTAATTGATTAGTACACATGTAAAATTGAGCTTCATAGAAAGATCCCTACTCTATCATGCTTTGGGAGAACCCCCAAAATACAGTATGTAAATTTATAAAACTGATGTATGTAAATCAGATGTGTGATGTTCCATTTTTAGCCACAGTCATACCATTTTTCTTTCTCGATCTCTCTGTGATTCTGCCAGATTACGTCTCCTTTGCATTTCGGATTCCAATTTCCTCTGCTGTTCTTCCTTTTGGTGTTCATCCCATGCAAGACGAGCCATTTCCCGTTGCTGCAAATGTTCTTTCTCCGCTGCCAGTTTACTTTTCATGAGTTCTGCAATTTTTCGATCCTGCCAATGCAATAATACAGAATAAAATATACTACAGGAATATTACTATCCAAGAGATAGGCAGTTGTAATTATTGAAAAGGAGTTCTCAAATTGTGGAAGACCGCTAGAAAACAAGAGGAGTGTTTCTGCAGGGAGAGAGGAAGTTTGCTAACAGCAAGATTGGAAATAAATGCACTATGTATTACATAATACATGTGTAATGACTTCCAGGGACAAACTGTCTTATATTTTTATTGTTTCAAACAAAAATGAGAATGACAGTTTTTGTTTGTCAGAATTATTGTTTTTTAATAATTCAAAATCAAGATTGATTTATTTTATGACTGAATTTCACTAAATAATTCAAAGCTATTCAAAGGAGAAAGGAATGTGTCTGAATTTTAAAGGAAACGTTGACTTTTTGAGAAGTTGTGTTTATGAGAACTTGACATAGAAACCTAAAAAGATTCTAAGTAGATTCTAAAAAGTTACTGCCACATCCAATCAAACTCATTTTCAGTATAGCTCACTGTTAGATAGACGACCAGATTGAAATTTATTGGCATTTGTAACGTTCCTTATCATTCAACACATGGCAGATCAGCAGTGTACAGCAGTACTACAAACAGTATAAATGAGTGGAGGGGATGGTAGAACCAAAATACAACCAACCTGAATGTGGGCCGCCTCCAAGCTGCCCAGTGACAAAGTTGAATACTAAAATGCAAATGATCTCATTACATATGCAAACAAAACAAGAAAATGATATGACAAGTAGTTTCTCTGTCTCTAATACTTCACAACTGAGAAAGAAAAGGTAGTCAATGATTCAAGTGTGATGTTGTCAAATGCCATTTTTCATTGCTATAAATAATGAGCTCTCAGTATTTCGTTTTTTATTTACAACACAGCAAAGCAACATGGTTATGGTTTAAAGATCTTAATCATCTCCACATGTTTGTTTGCATTTGTTTCACGACAAGATATAATGATTATGTCAGTTCTAGTTCTAGTTACACCACATACTCATGACAAATGCTATTGAAGGAAGCATGGTATGCCAGAAAAATATGTTTATGCATGAACATACAAACAAGGATGTGTGTGATTCAGTTCAATGTCCAAGTTGTTTAAACAACAAACCCTAATGATTATTTCCCAATAAGAAATCTTGGTTATTTTCATCTAGAAAATGACCTAACAGCTTGTTTCCACATGTTTCATGAAATCCAAGCATTTGTGATGTGCTTACCACACTGTCAATTTCTATCTTCTCAAACTATCCCTGCATGTATATTATATTTTTGTTAGACTGTGTCACGCCCTTTACTGTGTACATCCTTGTCATTGCCCTGTTATTACGCAATGATGGGCAGTACATCCTCCTTCATTCTCTAATTATCTGCATTCATGACAATAAATTAAAGTGGTTTAGAGTACACATCATATATACGCAATTATACGCACCTTTTCTGAAAGACCAGCTGAACTTATTTCAAGTTTACTTCTGTTACCTGTGACACTAAGTGATGCATTGGAATATGAAGGTCGTGGCTTTAATGGTGTAAAAGACTTGTTCTTGTCTCTGATAGCAAAAGGGTCATCTGATGTGTTTCTGGCTCTGCGTCTAAAATAATTATTTTATATCATAATATAATTATTAAATTAAAATAATCATTATATGTTAAAATAATCAAGGGAATATTTTTTCAACCTCAGCAGATTTGTTATGCTACTAAAAATGTGCTCATATTCTTGACATCCAAGGGAGTACCGATAATCAGTGTAAGCATCAACAACAAGGAAGGTGCTGTAACTTTTCATTAAAACTGACGTATGGGAAATGCAAATCATTCCCCTATACTTCCACCTCCAAACTTCTTAATGCAAAAATACAAACCCCTCTCATACTAATTCAATTCAAATTTTTAAATACGTTTCTCTCAAATTTCCACTATGTATATTAAACAAGCAGCCTCTCGGCTGAGATAGCTCCGCTGTTAGCACTGCACATTTCAATTAAAGAACAGAAGATATCATTAGAAAATGAACAATATGCATAGTATCAACGCAATGGGACTTGCTGTTTTCAACAAGAATTCAAAAATATTATTTTTCACCATAAATGATTGTGGTTTTTAACAAGAAGTCGAAAATCACTTTTTACCAAAAATGATAAAAATATTCATCAAAATTAGAGAATTGAAGATATCATCATGAAATGAACAAACCTGAGGGAGGTCCACATGTAGTACCTATATATGTAAAATCAAAGCAATTGGACTTGTGGTTTTTAACAAGAAGTTGAAAATATCACTTTTTACCAAAAATGACAAAAATATTCACCAAAATTAGAAAATTAAAGATATCATTACAAAATGAACAAATCTGAGAGAGGGACACATGTAGTACCTATATATGTAATATCAAAGCAATTTGACTTGCGGTTTTTAACAAGAAGTCAAAAATATCACTTTTTACCAAAAATGACAAAAATATTCACCAAAATTAGAGAATTGAAGATATCATTACAAAATGAACAAACCTGAGAGAGGTCCACATGTAGTACCTATATATGTAAAATCAAAGCAATTGGACTTGTGGTTTTTAACAAGAAGTTGAAAATATCACTTTTTACCAAAAATATTCACCAAAATTAGAGAATTAAAGATATCATTACAAAATGAACAAATCTGAGAGAGGTCCACATGTAGTACCTATATATGTAAAATCAAAGCAATTGGACTTGTGGTTTTTAACAAGAAGTTGAAAATATCACTTTTTACCAAAAATATTCACCAAAATTAGAGAATTAAAGATATCATTACAAAATGAACAAATCTGAGAGAGGTCCACATGTAGTACCTATATACCGGTATGTAATATCAAAGAAATTATACTTGCGGTTTTTAACAAGTAGTTGAAAATATCACTTTTTACCAAAAATGACAAAAATATTCACCCAAATTAGAGAATTGAAGATATCATTACAAAATGAACAAATCTGTGAGAGGTCCACACGTAGTACCTATATATGTAATATCAAAGCAATTGGACTTGCGGTTTTTAACAAGAAGTCGAAAATATCACTTTTACCAAAAATGACAAAAATATTCACCAAAATTAGAGAATTAAAGATATCATTACAAAATGAACAAATACACATGTAGTACCTATATAGAATAGAATAGAATAATGCTTTATTAATACTGTAAAGAAAGAGTTAACATTTCCTTTTAGGTTTTCAGATTAATAATGTAATATCAAAGCAATTGCACTTGTGGTTTTTAACAAGAAGTTGAAAATATCACTTTTTACCAAAAATGACAAAAATATTCACCAAAATTAGAGAATTAAAGATATCATTACAAAATGAACAAATCTGAGAGAGGTACACATGTAGTACCTATATATGTAAAATCAAAGCAATTGGACTTGTGGTTTTTAACAAGAAGTTGAAAATATCACTTTTTACCAAAAATATTCACCAAAATTAGAGAATTAAAGATATCATTACAAAATGAACAAATCTGAGAGAGGTCCACATGTAGTACCTATATACCGGTATGTAATATCAAAGCAGTTATACTTGCGGTTTTTAACAAGTAGTTGAAAATATCACTTTTTACCAAAAATAATCACCAAAATTAGAGAATTGAAGATATAATCATGAAATGAACAAATCTGAGAGAGGTCTACCCAAGGTACATATACACCAAGTATCAAAGCATTCAGGCTTGTAGTTTACAAGAAGAAGTCGAAAAAGTAAAACATTGACACGGACGACGACGGACAATCACTCATATAATAAGCTTTGCTCGACAAAGTTGTAAGCGTAGCTAAAAATTTGTTTTTAGCCCTTCTCAAATTGAATTTTAGATGTTTCCTGTGTGTCAATTTTAATGATCAATGACATTCTGAGTAGACGGTAATAATATCAGAAAATATTTTGTAATTAAATGCTGCACACCAACCTTGGTCTGGAAGTAGGTCTTGAATCATCTTTAGTTATTGCGGAGTCATATATCTCTCTGGCTCTAATGGAATCATCTTTAGTTATTCCTGAGTCATATATCTCTCTGGCTCTAATGGAAAATAAACAGAATTGCTAAATAGTACCGGTAGTGGTCATCGTTTTAAATTGCATATAAATCAACATTGTATTTTATATGCATTGTATACATAGCATGGGACCCATAGCAGTCATGATGCAATGTGACGACCACAACCTTTTAAACAAGCCATGCATGGCACAGTCCCCGTTAGTTATCAAATTTAAGATATATAGTTTTGTTTATAGTAATATAGCTGGAATATAACCATGTCAGAAATATGATTTTTTAACATTAATATGATTGACATATGTATCTGATCGTCAAACAAGTACTTGTCCATATTGAGAGATATTGCTCTGGAACAGCATTCAAAATCCACCATTTTGAATACATGTATATATATAACATGATTTATAACGAATATATAAAATTTGAACATAATCAGTCAAAGCATTTAAGAGATATGGCTCTAGAAGCCCAATCATTAAAAAAAAAATGGCCGCCAGTCAGCCATTTTGAATCCAATCTGACAAGTAAAATGACGTGCATCAGGAACCAGTAATGTCTGATGTATGTACCAAGTTTGACTGAAATCCATCCATAAATGCCAGAATGCTTGATATTTGATGATTTTTTAGCACAAAAACGACCACCATTCGGCCATTTTAAATATGATCGTCGAACCAATATATCT